TCCGGGTTTGGTCTATTTTATATACATTAACACAGGCTCTAATTTGGGACCAGAGAAAATCTCTCTTATATCCGGGTTTCTCTTATATCCGGGTCTCTTATATCCGGGTCACACTGTACCAGAAATAGATTTTGAAGGGAAAATATTACCAGAAATATTTGTTTTTTAAGGAAAAAAATATTACTGGCAATACATTTAAAAAAAAAATATTACCAGCAATAAAAATTTTGTCGGCATTAAATAACCCATTGAGATGTTGATATGCTGTAAAACAAAATAAACCATAGCTGATCTGCAAACTTATTGCTTACAAAGAATACATATTCTATTCATACGAACCTATCCTAAAAATCTTGTCGGCATTAAATAACCCATTGAGGTGTTGATATGCCGTAAAACAAAATAAACCAAACCTGATCTACTAACTGATTTCTTACAAAGAATACATATTCTATTCATACGAACCTATCCTAAAAATCTTGTCGGCATTAAATAACCCATTGAGGTTGATATACCGTAAAACAAAATAAACCAAACCTGATCTACAAAATGATTTCTTACAAAGAATACATATTCTATGCATACGAACCTATCCTAAAAATCTTGTCGGCATTAAATAACCCATTGAGGTTGATATACCGTAAAACAAAATAAACCAAACCTGATCTACAAAATGATTTCTTACAAAGAATACATATTCTATTCATACGAACCTATCCTAAAAATCTTGTCGGCATTAAATAACCCATTGAGGTTGATATACCGTAAAACAAAATAAACCAAACCTGATCTACAAACTGTTTTCTTACAAAGAATACATATTCTATTCATACGAACCTATCCTAAAAATCTTGTCGGCATTAAATAACCCATTGAAGTTGATATGCCGTAAAACAAAATAAACCAAATCAAACCAAACTTGAAAGCCCCGATCAAAAGATATAGGGACCTTCGCCACTTTATCTGTTAAGGAATTTAGCATCCAGTCTAGAATATCAAATGATAAAAACTTAGATATGGAAGCCATGTTCTTGGTTTCTGTAGCTTTTTAAAAATAAAGATTTTTAGTTTTTTAAATACTATAAATAATTCTTTAATTACTCTTCTCTTAACTTGGGGCTCACCTGGCTACCATCCAGGGTGCATTAGCGCGCCCGGGACCCACAGGTTGCATAACGCTACCATCGCCTAACTGAGTGAAGGAAAAAGTAAGACTCGGCCCGTGTAAAACCGGGTATCGTTACGAGTAAAGAAATAAATCAGACCATACAAACAGACAACGCTCATAACTGTCTGGCAGCATATTTAAATTGTTCGACGCACGCTTTCATTTTCTTCTTTTTTTTCGACGTAAATCTCTTTTAAAGCTTTCAACGTTCGTCTTCCGCGAGTCAATCATTCTCTTACATGTTTCCTGCGCTTCAAGCCAACAAGCCGGCATCCGACTCTCTCCCCGCCAGAGAAAGCGATCGACGTGTTTTAATATCTTCCCTGCATTAAAACTTATATATTTCATCCAAGATGGCTCGCTTGTTTGGGGCAGTTGTTTCCATAGGCGGGAGTTTTTCACGCTGTAACGGCGCTTTGAAGTGACAGAATTATTGCCAGCTTATGGATTATTTGATTACCATTTTCTTTAGTGAAAGATTTATTGTGTCTGTTGCCACTATCCTTCACGGTTATGAGAGCCAGTTTTATTTCTGTTTTTTTTTTTTTTTTTGTTTTTTTTACGCAGATTTGTCCGCATTCCATAATGTACATATTATACTATTCTTCGAGTTTAAGAAATTTGTACCTAAATGTTATATTTTTATAGGCACCACCACAGGTGCGCTAAAAAAAAAAAAGAACATACCATAATGAAAAAATGCCCCAAACTTAATAAAAACAAATTTTTATCGTCAAAATATATATTAATATTAAAAAGACGAAATTATTTCTTGATTATTAAATTATAATTTTTAATCATTTTTAGTACGTTCGAAATTCTGGTTAAAATCTTTTTTTTTCTTGCGTCAGAGAGGAGCCAAAGATTATTAAAGCGAATTTTAAAATTTATGATATTAAGAAGAAAGACCAAAGAATTTTTTGATTATTGAATATTTTTTATCCTTTTTAGAACGTTCGAAATTCTAGTTAAAATCTTGTTTTTCTTTCGTCAGCGAGGAACCAAAGTTTAATAAAGGGAATTTTAAAATTTATATGGAGAATGAAGACCAAAGAATTTTTGGATTATTAAATATTTCTTAATTCTTTTTAAAAGGATCGAAATTCTGGTTAAAAATCTTTTTTCTTTTTTTTTTCTTTTTTTTTTTTTTTTTTGTCAGCGAGGAACCAAAGATTAGTAAAGGAATTTTTAAAATTTATATGTTATTAAGAATAAAGACCAATGAATTTTATTATTATTAAATTATATTTTTTTATCCTTTTCAGAAGGATCGAAATGCTTGTTAAAAATCTCATTTTTCTTGTGTCAGCGAGGTGTACCCAAAATTAATATAGCTAATTTTAACGTCTTTTTTCTGGTAATAAAATCTATTGATTAGGAAATTCCTGCAAAAAAACAAATAATTGTCGGATTTTAATGAAACTTTTAAAACTTATTCAGAAATGAATTAGATTATTTTAGAAATCTCTCTATTTTTAAACCGTCCTGCGTATGATGATAAACTACATCCGCGTCCTGGGTAAGAAGATAAACCACGCCCAACAGCAAGGGCTCTGATCAGATTTTGAGAAGCATGGAACCATCTCGTAATTGAAAGCGTTCCCAGGTTCACTCTGGCTCAGGGTGGTAGCACCTGTTAGGGTTCCAACTATGGGCAAATGGTTAAAAGCCATACTGAGATCTAAACATTATGAATCAATAGGTTTTCATACCAGAAATATTTTGTAAAAGAATTATTACAAAATAAATTTTAAGGAAAAATTATTACCAGCAATAAAATTTTGAAAAAAAAAAAAAACACCAGCCATACATTAAAAAAAATTACCAGCAATACGTTTCTCAAAAAAAAATATTGCCAGCAATAAAAATCTTGTCGGCATCAAATAACCCATTGAGATTGATATGCCGTAAAACAGAATAAACCAAACCTGATCTACAAATGGATTTCTTACAAAGAATACATATTCTATTCATACGAACCTATCCTTAAAATCTTGTCGGCATTAAATAACCCATTAAGGTTGATATGCCGTAAAACAAAATAGACCAAACCTGATCTACAAATGGATTTCTTACAAAGAATACATATTCTATTCATACGAACCTATCCTAAAAATCTTGTCGCCATTAAATATCCCATCGAGATGTTGATATGCCGTAAAACAAAATAAACCAAATCTGATCTACAAAATGATTTCTTACAAAGAATACATATTCTATTCAAACGAACCTATCCTAAAAATCCTGTTGGCATTATATAACCCATTGAGGTGTTGATATACCGTAAAACAAAATAACCCCATTGAGGTTTATATGCCGTAAACTAATCCAGACCAAACCATCTATTTTTAGATAAGCTTGGTAAAAACATTATCTTTTTATATTTGCTCCCACCCAGCCATACACACACCAACGGATTTATTTTCATGGAATTTCGAGAAACTAATTTTTTGCAGCATCTAATGTTTATATTAGTTATACACAGAAGACGTTGGAGAATTTAAATCAGGGGTTCTCAACCGGCGTCCACTTGGCCCCTAGGTGTCCATGTAATATTTCTGGGGATCCACTGGCAATATATAATAAACTGGAGGTCCACAATGATATTTTGGTGGTCCATGAAGAAAGCCAATTCAGAATGGTTTTTATGATTAAAAGTTAAATTTCTACTGTAATTTACACTATATTGAAATCTATCTATCTATCTATCTATCTATCTAGATAGATAGATAGATAGATAGATAGATAGATAATATTAGCGGTTAATATACACATGCATATGCAATCATATATCTAACATATATAAATATATATACATACATGCATACACACACATATATATATATGTATAAAAAAAATTCCAAGAGGATAGAATCCAGGTAGAACTCAATGTCCAGGACAGAGTAAGGATATAATAAAAAAGTTAAACACTAATATTCCATGGTCATAATTTATTCCATTGGAATCAACATGATCCAATTCATCAGACCTATAAATTCAAAAAAAAAAAAAAAAAATGAAAAAACAACTCCAGTACACTCTCTCTCTAAATTTTATTTTTTATTTCTGGAGTTGTTTTTTCTGTTTTCTTTTTGAATTTGTAGGCCTGATGAATTTGAATCGTATTTACGATTCCAATGGAATAAATTATGACCATGGAATATTAGTGCTTGAGCCTTTTTTTTTTTATATATATATATATATATATATATATATATATATATATATATGAAGGATTTCTTTTATATAGGTACCCTCATTGAATTATCGATACCTAAGGTTAAAATGGTTTATTAAAATTTTTAACTAGTATACATAAATAAATGTTGCAGTGAATTCAATTGCCTGAAGAGCTCTGCTCCCCATGGCCTTGACCATGGAAGAAACATTGTAATGTTGTAATACAAGATATTGGTCAATAAAAATTATTATTATTATTATTATTATTGTAGAATAATTTATTTGTATTAAATTAGTTTCCATTTAAAAATGAAGCTTAAATATAATATTTCTTTGATTATTAAAACCTCAAAATTTTTATTAGTGAAAAATAGAATATTGTTGTCTTATGTCAAATAGCTATTAAGGGGCCCACCAAGAAAAATAAAAAGAAGGGAAAAGGGGGACATGGGTTAAAAGTTGGGAACCCTTGATTGATATCACCAATTGTTTTATAAATCAGAACCGCCAGTTACCAAAAGAAAGAAAGAAACGCGCCCACGAATAACTGATATCTCGTCTAGTTTTTTATTTTTAGTATTGTGCTCGCCTTGTTTTCAAGTAAACACTGCTTAACACAGAGATTGAACTCCCAATTAATATGTCGCCAATTTCACCACTCACGTCTTTTATCCATAAGACCCGTTGATGGCGACGGTAGTCCGAATGTAAAATAGTCTAAAGAATAATCCTCATCTGAGAAATTCCGACAGAAAGAGAGAGGTAGAAAGAGAGAGAGGTGAGAAGAGGGTGAGAGAGGAAGAGAGAGAGTGGTGGAAAGGGGGAGAGGTAGAAAGAGAGAAAGAGAGATGTGGAAAGAGAGAAGAGTTAAAAGGGAGAGGTGGAAAGAGAGAGGTGGAAAGAGAGAAGTCGAAAGAGAGAGAGGTGGAAAGAGGGAGACGTGGAAAGAGAGAGATGGAAAGAGATAGGTGGAAAGAGGGAGAGGTGGAAAGAGAGAGATGGAAGGAGATAGGTGGAAAGAAGGAGAGATGTGGAAAGAGAGAAAAGTGTAAAGAGAGAGACATGGAAAGTGAGATGGAAAGAGATAGGTGGAAAGAGGGAGAGGTAGGAAGAGAGAGTGGTGGAAAGGGGGAGAGGTAGAGAGAGAGAGATGTGGAAAGAGAGAAGAGTTAAAAGGGAGAGGTGGAAAGAGAGAAGTCGAAAGAGAGAGAGGTGGAAAGAAGGAGAGGTGGAAAGAGAGAGAGAAGTGGAAAGAGAGAAGAGTTAAAAGGGAGAGGTGAAAAGAGAGAGGTGGAAAGAGGGAGAGGTGGAAAGAGAGAGATGGAAGGAGATAGGTGGAAAGAGGGAGAGGTGGGAAGAGAGAGATGGAAAGAGATAGGCGGAAAGAGGGAGAGGTGGAAAGAGAGAGACGGAAAGAAAGAAGAAGAAAAAGGGTTGTGTGGAAAGAGAGAGATGTGTAAAGAGAGAGACATGGAAAGAGAGGTGGAAAGAAGGAGGGGTGGAAAGAGAGAAGGGTGGGGAGAGGTGAAATTAGAGAGAGAGAGAGAGAGAGAGAGAGAGATGGAAAGAGACAGGTGGAAAGAAACTTAAATCATTATGCAGCAGACGCCTGACGTACGCACGATTAACAGACTTTTTATACTAGACTATCCGTGACCAGTTGGGTCACTGACGGTTCAGCTAATAAAACATTGAAGTTCATTTCAACATACCATTGAAATGAAAGTTAATTTTATTACGTTTCAGTTAAATATTTCAATCCGTTCGTGTCATCATTCGTCTGCTTTACAAGTTCATGTTTAACGTTTTACTGATTGTTTACAGCCTTTAATAGAACTTCCACGATAAATTTGAACTTTAAATTAACTTAATTTAATTAATTAATTAAATTAACATTAATTAACTTAAAATATTTTTAATATGCCAAAGAATATTTTAAATCATATCCACTTGAAAATATTCTTTAAATAATTAAAATATTGTTTCCGTAAAGAAAACTGAAATATGAACAATGACTCTACAAACAACTGAACGAAACAGCAAAGCGGCATCTCTTTGTGTCAGACTATAAATTAAAAATATTTTAATTGAAACATTTTTCTGCTTGAAGAAAGTTAACATAAATATACTTACTGTATAAACAACTCGTTTTTTTTATCTTATTCACTTAAGATATTTTTTTTTTAAATCAGATTATTCAATTTTTTTTAATATTTAAAATATTGTTTGTTTAAAAAAGGTGAAACCAAATGAACGAAGCAGCCAACCAAAAAAAATTTCAGGTAAAATAAAGGTGTATGTAAGCAAGAATTATCTCGGTGAGATGATTATCAAAGTTATTTTATCCTTAGCATGTCTGCTTTGCTGATTAAAGGTAATTACAATGAAGACAGAATATATGGTTGTCAGCAAGAGAAAAAAGCCAAAGATCGAACTAATAAAATTAATTATATATATATATATATATATATATATATATATGTGTGTGTGTGTGTGTGTGTGTGTGTGTGTGTGTGTGTGTGTGTGTGTGTGTGTGTTTATTAGAAAAAGGAAACTCAAATTAATATTTTTGCATTGACAAGTTTGAGAGAGAATCTCCCGGGAAGGAAATGGCCATCTGAATTGGGTGATTTGGTTTTCATTTTTGTAATTCGCTTATATGCTCTATAATAAATATATTGAACTCTCTTTTGTGGATCAGTTTTAATATTTTATACAGATGGCCATTTCATCCATGGGAAAAAACATTTCCCTGGATTGTCAATGCAAATACATTTGTTAAAATCTATTTGAATTGACATTACTTATTACAGATTACTACCTATATATATATATATATATATATATATATATATATATATATATATATATATATATACACTAGCTTAATTCATACCTTTCGTAAGGGTATTTGAGCGGCTATCCGATGAAAAATTCCGGGCGTTATCCATTGCACCATACACATATCCAATTCTTACAGCATCTGGTGTACTCAGCCGTAACTCATCTTGTTGCTAAACAGGCTCGACATTGCTTAACTTCGGTGGCCGTAAGTGATGTGGCCGTAAGCTCCCATAGAAGAGATGGATTCATACTTTTCCCAAGGTAAGTGACTGTAAGGAACAGTTGGCGAAGATTTCTTTTTGCGAGGCATAATTATTATTTTTCTGTATTAATATGAATGTAATATACAGAAAACGCTTACAAATAATGAAAGCGTTAACAATAAAAAACATATCCGGAAATACGGGATTCCGGATATGAAACATTCCGGATATGAGGTACTCTGGATATGAGGGATTCCGGATATGAGAGATTCTACTTTTTTTTATCAGAGATACAACCTCCTAATCAAACAGATAACTGAAATTTTTCAAGATCAGCATTCCGTTTCAATATGATCACGTTGGCGTCACGTGGCCGATGTTGTGAAAACGTATTCCTAAAATATAGTATTTTGAATGAAAAATGAAAAGAATTTTATTTTAATCTAAAACTTATATGTACGTTTGTCGGTCATTAATCTCGCTAGAAAAGGGGAAATATTAAAGAAACCAGGTCTAGTGTTCACCGTGCGTGAGATAGATATTATGCCTGCTTCATGAATCTAGACCTGGCTTCTTTAATATTTCAGTTGTCTGTTTTGATTAGTCTTACTCTTATGTCCATCGTCTTTTCATGTTGAATTGAATATAGTCTAATGTTAATTATGTTTTATGAATATGTCCTGAAGATGGTCTACTAGACCGAAACGTCCGACTTTGACATTATATTAACATTAAAACAGCATAATTGCATATTAGGATTTTTGCTTGTTTTTTCCGTATATTTTTCTTCATACTGTCGGATCTATATCCATATATTAGCTTACATATATATATATATATATATATATATATATGTAATTACATGAATCATTCATACAAAAAACAAATATAGATGTTAATGATTTAAATGGCGAGAATACGTCTTGTCCGAGAAATTTTCATTCAGGCCTGTAAATGTTATTTAATATTGTTTATTATAAACAGAGCATTTACTTAAATATTTGTATCTATAAAAATAATGTTAAACATAAAAATGTCTTTAAATAATTGTCGGGCTTTGTCCATTTCATAACATATGTATATATAATATATCATATTATATTATATACAACATTAGTTTTAATATATTAATATAATATTTTTCTCTACTTTGTATTGAGCACTTTTTTTAAAAAAGGAAATGCAACGAATTTTCTGTCTATTATATATATATATAATAATGTAAGAGGGAAAATCATGGAGAATTGTAGTTTGAAAACAGTAAAATCGACCTTGACCAGTTCAACCGGAACGCTTTGTCTATGGCTCAATCGGTAAAAAAAGCACGTCAGAGCTAATTGACGGTTCCGTATAGGATACAGGTTCGGTTCCTGTCGGAGGACGCATTTTTCTGTGAAAATTTCTCAGACATTCAGGCCGGTAAATGTTGTTTAATACAGTTTATTATGAACAGAGCATTTACTTAAATATTTGTATCTATAAAAAGAATGTATAAACATAAAATGTCTTAAATATATATATATTTACATTACTATTTTGTAAAAATAAAAAGTTCAATAAGAAAATTGGATTATATATCTTACTGTTCTTTTCTTTATATATATATATATATATATATATATATATATATATATATATATATATATATATATATATATATATATATATATACGAGTTCGTTCGACGTATGAGGGTCAAGCAGATCAGTTCCTAGGAAACCGACAGCCTGACAACAGCACATGGTATTTGATTATAGTGGTGAAGGTTTCGTGCAGGACCATCCACACTTTTTGAAGGGACGAATACAGAGACCTGGTGTACCAAGTGCCACAAGGTTCTATAGCCTTGGATGGTAACTCGTCTACCGCAGAAAGAAATAGCAACCTACTGCGGGGGAGAATTCTGCCTCGTCAATCATGTATCGACCCTCCGCAGGTTTTGAATTCAGAGTTTTCCTTCTCTTAGACCAGTTACCATCCAAGGCTATAGAACCCAGTCTGTCTTGCTATTTTACCCATAGCTGGAGGGAGAGGAAGAGGATTCACACCTTTCCCAAGGGTATTAGCATGTAAGTGAATGTAATAGATTCGATTGGATATATATATATATTCTTCGGTCTGTTTGCATATCCACACAACGAATTCTGGTTGATTTTTAAAGCAATAATCTCTGTTGTTAGTATGAAGTTTTTCTTGAGCCGATTTGGGGCTAGTTTTTCGTTCACTGCGATAAACAACGTAAATGGTGTGTCAAGGAACGGCGCAAGAAGTCCAATCTTCCGCAGCATGTGGTAACACTTTGCCATCAAGTAAGAGAGAAAGCCTTTACAGATATCCGACTTAAAGGGCTATATATTAGCTTCCCGTTTCGTATAAAATGCCATGATTACTCGACGTTGTCGTTTCGAAAAATTTAGAGTTTTTGTTTTTTTTTTTATTTGGCGGGGGCGGGGGGTGCGGAGGCAATCAACGAGAGAAAATCTGTGACAGAGGAAAAAAGATTACGAGTGAGTGATAGCATGTAAAGAGAAGGGCGGAAATGAACTTTTATATATACTGGCTTTTCTATCTTAATGATAATCAAGTGCGCGCGGGAGCGCGCGCACACGTGTGTGTGTGTGTGTGTGTGTGTTTTGTTTTTTTTGCTTCTTCCAACGTTAGTCCACCAGTCTTCTACTTTTATGTGACGTGTCACTTCAGGACGTATGCGGTCTTGGCCCTCCACATCTTCCCTGTCCCTTCCACCTCTTAACGAGTTTTGTCTTTTTGCTATTTCTCCGCAAACCCTGTAACTACCATCCACTTATTCAATGCCATTCCTATGTCCCTCTTTCCGCACAATCTGTCCTGTGAGTATCAGATTTTCCAAGCCGTCCTTCCTCAATATGTGCCACAGAAAAAAACAACTGCCTCTTCCTGATACTATTATCAGTCAGTAGTGTACCATGCGTGATATACACATAGGCGATCATGTATCTTTCGATACATGACTGACGAGGCAGATTTTTTCCCGATGTAGGTGGCCATTTCTTTCTGCGGTAGACAAGCTCTTCTTCCTCATTACGTGTCTCAGAAATTTCAACTGCTTTTTCTGGATAAACAGTTTCCATATTCTCTAACACCTCATCGCTGCTCACATGTTCGGCGCATGGTATCCTCAGCATCCTTCTGTAGAACCACATTTCTACACCATATAGGAGGACAGATATCCTGGAAGAGTTAAGTGCCCTTTTCTTTGTTTCTAACAAAATCTTTCTGTCTTTTAATATTCTGCTATTTTTGGTTTGGTTTATTTTCTTTTATGGGATATCAACCATAATTGTTTATTTAATCCCGACAAGATTATTAGGATAGGTTCGTATGAATAGAATATGTATTCTTTGTAAGAAATCTCTTTGTAGATCAGGTTTGGTTTATTTTGTTTTACGGCCTATCAACCTCAATGGGTTATTTAATGCCGACAAGATTTTTAGAATAGGTTCGTATGAATAGAATATGTATTTTTTGTAAGAAATCAGTTTGTAGATCAGGTCTGGTTTATTTTGTTTTACGGCATAGCAACACCTCAGTGGGTTATTTAATGCCGACAAGATTTTTATTGCTTGTAATATTTTTTTTTTTCAAAAAGTATTTCTGGTAATATGTTTTTCCAAAAATGTATTGCTGGCATTTTTTTTTTTTCGAAAATTTATTTCTGGTAATATTTTTCCAAAAAGTATTACTGGTAATAATGTATTGCTGGTAATAATTTTTTACAAAAATGTTTTGCTGGTATTAAAACCTATTTTTGCATATTTGACCCTAATTTGGGCGTTAACTATTTGCCTATAGCTGGAACCCTTACAGGTGCTACCACCCTGGGTCAGGATGGACCTAGGAACACCACCAATTAAGAGGTGTTTCCATGCTCCTCAAAACCTCTATCTATCAGATTTAGATTATCGTCCTACCCAGGACGCGAATGTAGTTTATCGCCTTACCCAAGACCCGGATGTAGTTTATCGTCTTACCCAGTACGGTTAGTCTTTGGAATGTAAAAAAACATTAGATTAGTTTTCAGAAATCAAATTTAAAATGAAAGGTTTCTTAACATGTTTCTTTTTAAGCATTTTATCTCAAGCAAGGCAATAAAGCCACTAAAACGCAAGAGCTTCCTGAGTGTGAGACGATGTGTAAAGAAAAAACACTGTTCAACAGAGGGAATAATAAAAGAAGATGGGTTAAGAAAGAAAATGCAATAGAAGGAACTGCTAGAATAGAACTTACGGTTGCGCCTAGCCATTTCAGTTTTAAAATAATGAGACCTTGCTGCCAATCTAGTACTGCGCTTACTGTGTACCAAAGATGAAAGCCCATCAGAAGAATTACTATGAAAATATTTGCAGAAAACTACATTACGGCGGCGGGAAAGTGACTGAAGCCGGGATGCCAGGTCAGAACCAATAAAATTGCAGATTTTTTTTTTTTTTTTTGTATTTTATCAATAATTTCTAAATATATACCAGAAACACCGGAGCAGACGTGGTAATAATATTCGATACATGGACGAATAAATATATAAAATAACAATGAAGATTTTTTTTTATTATCATCAAGGTGCTCTACATAAGTAGCAAGAGCACAGGACCACGCGTGGCAGCAATATTCTATGCATGGACGAATAGTAGACCTATAGATATGCAAGACAGATTCTAGCGAGAAAAAATATTGTCGAGCACGACACAGTGGACCAAATTCCTTAGCAGCAGATCGATTCAATATCATCTTTCCACTTCATGTCAACGACAAGCTTTAACCCTTGAAGGCGCAATGTGTCACTCTCCTGAAGCTGTACATGCCCTTACCCTTTGTCAATGATCGTAAATATGATTTCGCTTAACATCATTTTCATATAACCACATTTCATCGTGTCTATATATATATATATATATATACTAATTTTTTAAAATATTGTTCCATCGCTACACAGGAACCGCCATGTTTCAAAAACAGAAACTAAAAACTTCAAATTATTATTTTTAAATTAGCAAACTTATAATATGTGTAAATGAGTAAATTTATAATACTTATGCTCTGTAGATTTGCATTGAGCCCTGTTTTGTAAAAATAAGAATAATTAATAAGAACACTTGTTAAGATATCTTACTGTTTTTTCTTTTTATTATAACACACACACACACACACACACACACATATATATATATATATATATATATATATATATAAACATTAGGCAGCATATGATTTACATATAAAGAAATAATCACATAGAATTAATCAGAAGTATTAATGCGATTATTGGCGACATCCATCGCTAGAAAAACATAATATATGCATTAAAATCCTGTTCATCCATAGTGCGAGTTTTGATCCTTGAAGAAAAACTTGTTGTCTGTAGTTTTTCAGTTTATTCGATGTTAAAATGCTAATACTTACGGACGGTCTTCCATCTATCACCAGACATGTGTTTTTTTTTCTTATAAAATCAAAAACTTGAGACGATATATCTGTATGTCGACCGAAAGATGTTTTTTGAATATCTGCTATCGCATTGATACTTCTGATTAATTCTATGTGTGATTAATTCTTGTATGTAAATCATATGCTGCCTAATGTTTTATGTTTATTAAAAAACTATCGATCCGCAGTACATAAAAATTCCTATAAAAAAATTACTATTATGACATTACACTATATTATTGAACTATATACTTAGTTCATGACATAAAAACTGAATACACTTGTAAAAATAGAATACGTGGATTTAACACATCACAAGAAATATTTAAATAAAATTCTCACTTAAAAATTTTGAAAAACTTAGCGTTGCATCTTTGCACGTTCCGATATCTTACAACCGTCAATATTTTTATATATATATATATATATATATATATATATATATATATATATGTGTGTGTGTGTGTGTGTGTGTGTAAAATGTTTATGTATATATATATATATATATATAGTTAAACCTAGAGAGCAAGACAAACCTACCAAGGTTTCACCTAAGCAGATCGTCAGGGAAAGCCGGCCTCCCCTGACGATCCGGTTAAAATGAAACCTTGGTAGGTTAGTCTGGCTCTCTAGGTTTAACGAGGTCTGCTCTACTCATTGTATTAAGCACTTTATTTAGTTATTTTGGGTACTCGCATCGGGGTTTTTTCTTTGGGCCTTGAATTCGTATGATGGACAATTATTTTCGGTTAACGTACATGTTCTTGGTTCTTTCTTTGTTATATACCCTTTTTTTGTCCCTTTGTTGCTGGATTGTTTATTTGCAAATCAATATACCGAAGGTTTTCCGAGCGAGTATAGTTTCTTATACTTGTAAGATTTCTATTAAGAATACGTATATATATATATATATATATATATATATATATATATATATGCAATTTATATATATATATATTATATTATTATTCGAAAGCGCTCAATATCAGTGATGATATGAAAAATTTTTCACAGTTAACCTGTAGAAAAATACAATATGTATAAATGTAAAAACCAATAGTAAAACTGTATTATCAACCGACGCGTTTCGTCCAATGTGGACTGTTTCATGGCAAAAACGAAATGAATTTATTAAAAACAAAATAACTAAAAGAAAATGATTGAATTCGTCAACATAACAATAAAAAAAAACTATTTCTACACGTGATAGTACGTGATATAATTTTCAGTTAACAATTTGAATATAATAGCGTTTTCTAACTTCTAGTTGCTAAGGACATCTTGTTTGTTGTTAATAGTTACTTTGTTTTCAATAAACTCATCAGTTTGGCTAGAGATCCAATTGGCCGAAGGGCAGAGTCTCATCTCGGGTAACAGCTACGACGAAGACGAAGGTAGGTTGAAAAAGTATATTGAAGATATATGCAAAACAATAGTGTTAGTAATAAGTAGATTAGCACTACTTATACTAATCCACTTCACCTATTCGACTCTCGCAGTTTGTATTTATGAGAGGAGGAAAAGTTCATTCTACTGTAGGAGGGTTTACCACAACAGATACAATCTCCCAAAGGACGTTTAAATTGATATATAATGCTTGCCTTAGATGCTAGTTGATGGAGAAGAATTATTTTGAACTACTAGATTGGTTGTATAAAATTTAGTATATTATATATATATATATATATATATATATATATATATATATATATATATATATTACTCGGATCAATGTGAGTATATATAAGTGACATAAACTATTAAGGGGATTTGAATAATCATAATTAAGTAATTCATCGTGTCTCGAAGAATCCTCAACAGAATGCAGAAAGCTGTTTCGTCCTATATTAGGACTTACCAGAATTGCGCATCAACTACCGATACGGCGCAAGTGTCATATCCACTGAGTGTATATATATATATATATATATATATATATATATATATATATGCTCTACTTTGTATTGAGCACTCTTTTAAGAATAGTATTTGTTGGTTATTGGAATTCATTCCGTATATACCAATCATATACTTGCATATATATATATATATATATATATATATATATATATATATATATATATCCCAATCAGCTACGCTGGGCAAGACAGAATTGGGGACCATCGCTTGTCCAAGACAGCCCTGTACGGCCTACTGTCCAGTGGCTACCGTGATAGAGGGGCACCAAGGAAGCGTTATAGGGGGATATTCAGTCACCCCCCACGTGGGTGTCATGTGGCACAAGGCCTTTTAACGTGGGCAATTCCCAAGCCATTAGGCTCGGCCAAAAATAGCCCATTTGAACCCGTATAAACGGGTTCAGGGCCGAGCGACCTCCCTGAAGGAGACTCCGCCCTTCGGCGTAGCCTCCTTCGGGTTCCTCCCGCCCGTAGGAAGAGAGTTTAACCGAACAGTCGGTTCAGAGGTGAAGCGTTATAGGGACTCTCTCAAGAAGTCCCTCAAGAAGTACCTTCGGTACCTGCCAAATTGACCATCGCCAGTGGTCGACACTTGCTGCTGACCGTCAAGTCTGCAACATTCACCAGGCCGCCTCCTTTGAGGATTCTCGCAGGGCCAACCTGAAGGAGAAACGCCGCGTGATGATGGACCTGGATGCTTCAGCAGCTATACCAGCACAGGACTTTAATTGCTATCAATGCGGCCGGACTTACCCGTCCCGCATCGATCTAATCGGCCATCAGCGTACCTACATTCGATGTGGACGGCCCACTTCATAAATCTTCGTTCGCGAAGCCGAGCCAAGAAGAATATTACTTTTTATGTGATTTTTTTTTTTTTTTAGAATTATTTCCTTCTTCTTATAGTTTAGAATGCATTTGATTATGGTAGAGTAGTTTGATATTGTCGAACAATCACGTGGTCAAGATAAACACTCAGTTGTGGAGCAAGCTGAGTGAATAATAACTCAACCTTAAGAGAGCTATTTATGGTGCCATGGAGCATCTCATTGTGCTAAAGTGGGATAGTCCATTGCTTGGGCTGTGATTGGCTGCTGGTACATGAGTGGAGGTATTTCTATAGAAATACCAGCTTGATTCATCAGTTAGTTTGCAGGGTTTGTATTAAGTTACAACCTGCTTTATTTTTGTCTGCCAACTGGACGCTAGCTGGGACCCTTACGCCGGTAACTGTTGTTTATTATTGTTATTCTACAGATATGTTTAGAGTTATTTGATGATGTATTATATTCTTTTTTATTTATGTTTATATTCTCAATATTTTGTCATCAACGATGTAATTAGGAAAGTCATAATTAATGAGGGTTTGTTTAATATTTTTTAATTCAGTATAGAAAATCTTCCTTGTTGAAGAGTTTGCTTTTGCACGGTTTATTAAGTTTCGTATAATAGCCATTTTGTACAGTATTTACATTAGTCGGACTATTGCCCTCATCTTTGTCGCCATATTTATCACAACGTTTTGGCCGTTGTACGCTCCGGCCTTCTTGGTGGTTGGAATTTCGAACTGAACGCTTTATTTCGCTCACTGCGGTTCTACGTTTGATGGATGCCAGTTATCAGTTATCTCCTGCTAATTTCCCTCTGAAAGTTCTCCACTGCCTTAACCGGGTATTGAACTCACACTCTTTGGGTCACTGGATCTAACCAACGCCTTTATCCACTGTGCCATGTGTCCTTGAGGACATTTGGGTATGAATTTCTCAGTATTTTTTCTTCATCTTCAGAAAATTAATAGAGGTACTAATTTTTTGATTAATCTTATATTATTAATGTTGGTAATTATATTTAAAAATGTACATTTAAAAATATGAATAGGAAGAAATTGCTAGAGTTATATTCAACACGTAATATTTTTAAAAGAATTTAACCAAAAAGTGAATTATTTTAGAAAAAAATATGGCGACAAAGTTTGCGACAAAGATGAGGACAATAGTCCGAATAATGTAAATAGTGTACATAATACCTCATCTCAGAAATATAGACAGATACTGAAAGGCCGAAACGTTGTAATAAACATGGAGCCAAAGATGAGGACAATAGTCCGAATAATGTAAATAATGTACATAATACCTCATCTCAGAAATATAAACAGCCATTTTGTAATCGTCAGATAAACGATAGATATAATCAAAATGAATTTCTACGACAATCCATCTCTCCTTCCATTAAAAATCCGTCCTAATATTTTAAGGAAACTACTCTTGATGTCCACTACAGAAGTTCCTTTCTATGACCATAAAATAACATATATTTATAATGCAATAGTGTTTCTATGGATTCCGCTTTAGGATCAACATTTACCTACTTCTACATGACTAAGTTTCGTATAATAGCCATTTTGTAATCATCAGGGAAACGATAGATACAATCATAAAGAATTTGAGAGGGAAATTTCCAGCAGTCAGCTCTGGCAGTCGGACCGAACATTCTTGCTGTAACA